CTATTTTTTTGTAGTACTCTACGAGCAGTTGGGATGGAGTTTGTTCTCCAACAAACTCCATGCATGCTGTGGATGCTGAGATGCTTCAGGCATGAGTAGCTGCAAATCTGAATTTGATCAACAAATTCCAGTTAACTCATGCTTATGTTTGAGGTAACAAATGATAAAAGACTTATGCATTCCATAAAAAACTGCTTTGCACAAACATTTGGCAGAATACCCTTCCAAGGTGAAAATTCCATATCACCCAGAAACATGCGTAGAATACATGATTAATAACCAACCACTCACATACATAACTACAGAAGGAAATGGACCAATAGCAATTGACCATCCCAAGAACTGGTGCTTTGCTTCTAGGGCCTCAGCATGGGAGAAAAGTCCCAAAGGATCTGTACAATGTTGCATTGTCTTTGAGTCTACGAAAATACATTTTTCCTCTTTTATCTTCAGAAAAGAAAAAAAGCGCGAATCAATCATTCCACTGCAAGACGCATTAGGATTGGTGTTGTGATAATCCCATGCAATGCAATTCTTGACTAGAACCACTTATATACATAAGCATGTTGGAGGTACAATAGCACTATGAAATTAATTACCAGGCACTGCTCAGGTTCTTCAAATGGTGAGTACACGAGCCATTTGTCTTTCAGAAATGTTGACTCCTCAAACTGAAAAAATGGCGCAATGCAATCAGCCAGGTTTGTATTAACAAACTTCAGAAGCAGCAAAACCTCAAGTTAAAAAAACACTTGCTCCACAAAAATGCAAGGAAATCTATCCTTCTTATCCATTGTCTTCAATTGATCATCATATGTTTTTCTTGCCACCCAGAAGACTTCTGGGATGCATTATCCAAGAATCCCCAATATTTTATGCAAAGGAAGTAAGGATGAAATTACGGGGAGGTTTTGGCAAGTGTGGGGAATTGTCTTCCCCACCTGGCTTCTGGGAGAATCCTGTGCCACATTTTTTTTCATTTTCTTGCCTGAATTGGCGCATCATGGTATGGTATCCATGCTGATTTCCACCCCAAAACAAAAGCCAGACGTTGGCTGTTGTCCTGCACAATGACCGGAAAAATTTCATTTGTAACCCCGGTGTTCTCCCCTCTCTTCTGAGTGTTGTAAAATCATTCGAAGGTCCCTTGAAAATGAGGGAAGGGTTTTCCTGCAAGCAGCTGCATCCTTCAGAGTTCAGACTTCTCCCGTGTTTGGAAATACTTTTAGTGTGAGAATGTATTTTAGGAATCTTCACCAAGCTTCAGCATTCCTGGTTTCACCCTCAAAAAGGGCCAGAGTTCCAGGGACCTCAGTTCAGTTCAGTCAAAGACCCAGGACACAAAGGCTCTCTTCCTAAGCCTTCAAGTGTTGAACATCTTCTGTTCAGTTTGACTCTTTGCCTAAGTTTCGGTTCGAGAGAGTCTCTAAAAATCCGCCCAGAGGAAGAAAATATCAGAAGGGCCTCGTCTGTAAGGCCCAAATTTGAAACAACCAGCAGTTTGGTAAAGTTTGATGAGTCTGTTGTTCACACCACAAAACATTTCGAGATTGCCAGATTTTTCAGTCAAGTGTGCGAAAATTATGCAATTTCTTTGTGAGTGTTCTGTATATTTGTACTTTTGTCTGTAGTGAGAACAAAATTGCGCTTATATTTGGCCAGCTGCGCACCAACCAATGGCCAAGTTGTATATCTTGCTGCACAAACTTTAGTAGGAGCCAGTCTAATTCAAGCAAGAAGTATATACCTTTTTGGTAGGACAAAATTTGTACATGAATGATGTTTTGTAGAGCAAGACAGACACATTTTTGAATTTTGTAAAGAATATAAAGAAGTCGACATGTTGGACACCCTAAAATCCAAAAATACAAAATTGGACACAAAAACAGACCATGTTTCTGTCAAACTTAGATCAACATATTGAAGTTTCTAAAAGCTTTCTGCTACATTTGATGCGGAGAAAAATGTGGGAAATTGACTACCTATCAATTCGGCATATACTGAGGACTAGGAATTACTGGTAAACACAGACATACCCATACACAAACAAAATATCAGCACTGAACAGGATTGCCAATATCAGCGGAATGCATCTCAAGACTGCAATTCACAGCATATCTGCACATGAAGACCTCTCTCAGTTGACAGAACTCAAAGATAAAAATAAAGTGAAGCAGGACTTCTCACATTTTGGGTTTCATCAGGCCATGATTTCCTCACCAACTTATTATCCTTCCAGAATATTTCAGAAAAAAAAAAAGTCTAAAGGCTGCAGCCTGTGTGATGAGGAAAGCAAATCATGACAACATCCTCCCATCTCCATGCTTTAATTGAATTTTCGAAATGCAATATTTTAAAAGTCAGAAGGAATGGGAAATTTCTGCGCTGTGATGATCCTTTGAAAACAAGCTATATTTGCTGAGATTCATCGGAAGATTTCATTTCTCTTTTCAGAATACTCATAAATTCATGTTTCCCTCATTTGGCCCCTGGAAAAAGTTCTTTGGGAAAAAGGCGCAAAATAGTGCTATCTCGTGATTCGCACCAGGCCGAAAATGTCTGCTTCAATATAGAAGAGGGAGTTTCCCAACGAAAGCTGGCCATTACGTTATCAACTATCTTTGAAGTATTATATCAGACTCATAACAGGGACAATTCATATTCCAAACAGTTGCAGATTGAGAAACCCAGCGTCATCCAAATTTTTAAAACGCGGTCACAAAACTATAGGATCATACTCACAAGAAGATTAGGCACTAACTCTAGGTATTTCGTATCATCAGGCTGTCTGTGAAACAGCATTCACCACTTCTGAGCCAGTAAATTGATGGATTTTCCTTCCTCAGGACAGCTCATGACGGAGACAACCCCTGGGCTCCCTGAAGCAATCCTGGAAGAAGAGTAGGAGTACACACTAGGAAAATACCTAAAATAATTTTTTTTCGTTGACATGAACCGAAGACCCTAACTTTTTATGCAAATGAGCAACCCATTCCTGTCAAAATAGAAAACCTTATATTTGAATGGGACAGGGTAAGAATCAAAGGGGGAAGAGGGTCATCTGTAAGGCATCCAGAACTCATGCCCAACTGTTGGGCACAAGAACCAACTGAATGCCAAGATTAAAAAAAAATCTTTTCAAATTATGTTTCTCTCTTGGACAACTCATCTTCATAAACTAGGCTCATGCAGATCATATTTGATACGTATGATGATTACAAAGAGTCAATCAATGAAGTGTATTTCAAGGAGCTGGAACAGTAAAATCCTATTGAAAAATGTGTCATTCGTCCCAAAAGATTCCCCACTGAAAGACACAATAATGAACAAATTACAAATTTAAATCAAGGGTTTTCCTTACAACTAGAATCTACAACTAGGGTCAAGCGTTTCGGACTGAGGAATAGCGGGTAAATTCACATTTCCAGCACCACCAATAGTTTTTTGTAAACATGGTTTCAAATTTTGATTGGATCACTGAGAAAAAACCCCCGTTTCTCCTTGCCTTTCTCAAAATTGAAAGAAAGCATGCGGCTCACCTTCACAAGAATACAGTTGTTCGACTTGCAGACATGGAACACATCCGGAATCGCAGTTCATCTACGGAAGCTTCTTGGGCCTAGGCTGGACACCATTGACACCAAGCAAAGAACTTATACTGTACTGTAGTTCAACTGTAGTCGTCACATCCAGCGGCAGGGGTGGGCTTACTACTAAGCTACAGAGTCATTTGTGTCGAATGGGAAGGCAAATCTTCAGGTGTTCATCTCCCAAATAAGGCGTTCCCAACTGCCGAGCCCGCAACCACCGTAACAATTGCTCCAGCTTATAGTTGCACAATTCCAGTGATATTTGCTCCACTTCCGCTCGGAGGTTGTGCAACTTAGTTATCCACGTCTGCAGCTTTCATCGCCCTGAGAAAGAAGAGAGAGATGTCAACGCAGCGGTTCACCACGGGGTCCAATTAACACCCAGTAAGAAAAAAATCTGGTAAAAAGTTAGATCTATATAGTGGTATTCACAGACAATTCACGGATTCTGGGAACAAACGAGATCAACTTTTCAAGAAGGGAGGGTTTGTGGCCAAGTTCAACTGTTGGTACTATAGCAGGGCTGATTCTCCACAAAATGAGTTTCTTCCGAAAGACAGAAAAGAAATAGGCAGAATTTATCAAGGGTCAGAGTCCGTTTCAAGCTCTACGCACACTGAAAATACCTCGTTCCTCACGAGAATTCGAAAATGTTTGTCTGCGATCATGTGCATAAAGCTCTTCAGTAATTGTACCGTACTTACAGAAATATATCACATTTGATCACACAAGGATATACTCAACAGATTATTTAATCTTGGGTGCCAGAGGAGACCTTCCGCAAGGAGCTTATGAACAAAGATGTTCTTTGCATAATTCAATACTGTACGTTGTCGTACCCGGATCATCAAGTTACCGTACTGTAATTAGTTCCCCCGTACAGTAGATTGCACTGCCCAGGACGAAAACACTGTTCACATTTTCACTCAAATAGGACTGAATACCGAACGTTCCTACAGAATTCCGGGTGCATTATAAACACACCCAGCAGGCCGCGGAGTTCATCAAAATCCGAAGTGCTTCCTCACCCTCAGCTTTCCATTTTTAACGGAACTCAGCTGTTCTTTCGCCAACTTAACTTTCAGAGTTCTCGGACGACATTCAGATCACCTTCAGTCGACGCCTTCTCCGCATACATCTGGAGACAAAAGCAGCACTCACTCGAAGCTGTCCCCCGAAGACAAATGAACACCACTGAATTGAAATGATTTCTGGAAGCTACTGTACTGTATATGAAACACAATATACCTGATTGAGTTTGCACTACGCTTGTATCACTTTGAATTCGCAATCCGCCTATACCTGAACATTTTCACCTAGTCTGCTCGCACGTTTTGATCTCTCAGTCCAAGGCGTCTATCATGGTACCCTTGGTGGAGTGCAATTCCATCTCCTTCACCAACAGCAGCATTTTCAGATTCTTAAACGTCAACTCCAACTTTTCAGCCCTTCTCCTATTCAAAAAAAAAACGGATAACCTCCATTTGATGAAATTCTTTTCGCGCGTCGCTCGAGCGGACCAATCACCTCATCCTCCTTTCATCACAGGCAGGAGTTCCTCAAAACACTTCACCTTATTCACGTTTTGGAGCTGACTGCCCAAATCTTCATGGTCAGCTTTGCACTGTGTATAAAGGGAAAGGTTCTATCAAAGGCATTAAAATCAAGTACAGTACAAGTCAAAATTGAGCAAAACAGTACTGTACTGTATCCTGCAGGCATTCCGAAGAGTAACAAAATAGCAGCTCGAATGATTGTAGGATACTCCTACTCCCCGTGTTGAATATTTGAGAACCAAATTTCGATTAAAAAAAATGATTTCTTTACACGGGAAATCAATTCTATGGTGATTCTTGTTTACTTTGGCAGAAAAAATGTTTAATTACGTGGAAATCAATTTTCACAACGGGCCTTATGAAGACCATGATTTACACAAAAGGTGTGCAAATTTTACCATTAGGAATTGGAGCATGGTAAACGATTGTTCTTGCTATATTTTCTAGCTGCAATCATCATATAACTTTTTTTTTTACCATGGGAGACTATTATAGGAGACTAGAGGAAAATAAAATTACATTCAACAAAAGCACAAGGAAACTGCATTGCACACCGGCAAAACATTTGCTGTACCGAAGAAACAAATAACATTCAACATCAAACTTCGAACGGCAACCTTCCTTGTTTTGTCATCGCATCCAATGGTTAAGTCCGAGCATGTTTTTAACCTAAAGAACGAATTCAATGGCATTAGAGTCTGACAAGGCACGGTATCAAATCACAGAAACTTCAACTTACACTTAGTCCTAAACCTTTCGCAGCTTTTGTACTAAAAGCTAGCGCCACTTCAGCATTCTCGGCAAAATTCGACATGGCAAATAAGTTCTCAATGCGCCGATCCAAAAACTCCCAAGTGTTGGATTTTTCGGGGGAAACATCTTGAAGCATGAAGATCTCTGTTGACTTGTAGAGCGCAGTCAGCCCTAACCGCTTGCTATACCAATTCAACTGCAGAAAAAGAGAAAACAATTGTAGGCCACAAACAGAACCACTATGATACCTCAACCGACTTGATTTAGATGGACCACGCTTAAATCTCAAGTTGATCAGAGAAAAGACATTGGCACATATACATATACTGTCGGATGAACTTGAGCCGCTTTCATTATCTTTGATAAATTCGATTTTAGAAGGGAATTCATGAAATTTCAAGACGAACATTACAGATACAGTAATGCATTGAAAATTTTTAGGATAATCATGGACAAAAGGTTCAGTTTCTCCTGGAAAAAGCGGGTTGCGGGATGATTATTGCAAAGTTTCGCCACATACGTATCATATTTCGTTAAAGAATGAAAACGCTGGAAAATTTAACAAACGGCGATAGAGCAAAAATCAATTAGGAAAAACTACTACACCGCGCATGCAAATAGAAGCACAGCTGCACAAGTGCGAAAATATACGAAACTCATTAAATTTGTCTGGCTCAAAAATTCACACGTACATCCTGGGATTCATCGTCTCCAGCAACATGCCAAATATCGTCCATCAAATCGGATAGAACTAACAATCCAGTGCGCGGATTCAAGGCTAGGAGGCTCATGGCTTGCGGCCACTGCGCTTCTACGGGCAAAATCATTTCCAGACGGTGCTTGACTGAGTCCCGAATCAAATCAGTTTTCGAACTGAAATGAAGAAGAGTTTCATCAGTAATTCAAGAAAACAAGAGGCAAGCAAATTACCAATGAATCTGTGATGATCCTGCAGATCTCTCAACTTCTTGTTCCATCCACTTAGTGAGGTCTTCGTTACATTTCAAGTAAAAGAAGGCAACCAAATCCACGGCACCGTCGTTGAAAAGGCCATGCGCTACACTCGGAAGACCAATGCTTTTAGCACCTTGAACGAAGAAGGGCGGGATATTAGGTTGGTTTTGATCTCTCTCGTTGAGCTACTAATATTTGGATACCTTTGACAATTGCATCTCTCGACCATCCATCGGTAGGAACATGAGACAGCGCAGCAGTGAACACCTTGATTTTAACAGCCCATTCGCTTGAATCTTTGGTCCCTTTTTCTCCAATGGTTTTTACCACATTTGACTTGAAGTGACGCCATTGTTGCAGAGAAACGGGGGCAAGAACACGTTTCACAGCTAACATGGTACCATTTGATTTTCTGCTGTAAAAATATACAACTTTTTTTCCAGAATTCATCACGTGGAAAAACACGCTAACCACATCACGTGGAAAATCACGCCAGCACTGTACTCGCGAAAAGTAGTAAGAGTACTAATGGCCGCTGGCCGTTACTCTCCCCCCCCTGAAAAAGAAAGGTGCCGGCGGCGGCGAAAGAAATCTGGGGGCGGAGGCCACTGATTGTGGTAGCGCGTTGGGCGCCGGCGCCGTCGTTTGGGGCGATGCCGATGATGTGCGTTTGCGAGGCTGAATGTTGACATGTCTTCGTCAGTCCTCGTCGGTGAGGGGCCCCTGTCCGCTGAGTGGTTGTGCGAGCATGACGCTTGGCGGCTTGATGTCCTTTTCCATTTCAACAGCTGATGAGGATGACGTGGATGGCGATGGGGAGAGCTGGAACCAGCGGCGTTTCTTGCCGCTGTGACGTCTGGTTGCGGTTGCGGCGACGGGGGTTCGGCGACGCTCTCGGGTAGGAGAAGTTCTTTGCTGGACACGGGTGACGGTCGCATCTGGTTGGGGCTGGGTAGACGTCGGTCTGTCCGGCTGCGGGCGTCGTGGTTGGTCCCATGTGCGGGTGATGAAGAGCTCCCTTGGGGAGCTAGCGCGTCGTGGGCGGCGTGGTTGTGGCTGTCGCTCTGGTGGGTCGCGTTCTCGTCGTCGCTCGGGTGTTCGTCTGTTTCGGCTGGCCCGTGCGGGTGATCGGAGCCGTCGTCGGTCTCGTACCCTAGGCGAAAGCGAGGGCGATCTTCGTCGTTCTGTGGAGAAGATAAGTTTGTGTTAGGTGCCGCAGCATAAAAAAGCCCCGTACAGAGCCCCCCCCGTCAGCCTTTACTCATAAAAACCTCGAGGGTCCGCAAGCGCTCAACACCGGGCAAAAACCAACGTTACTGCATGCAGGGGGAAGGAACTATCGCGAGGACTTTGAAAGGCCCGTAGCGTTTGGGCAGGAAACGGCGGTGCGCAGCATGTCGTTCGGTGGTTTTGAGCCGCGGACGCAGCGTTACCATTTGCCCCACGTGGAATGGCGGCAGCTTTCGTTTGTTGGCTTGTTTGATATATTGACTTTGGCGGTCTCGGGCGGTTTGTTGCACCGCTTGGAGTTGCTGTGAAATGTCCCGGGGTGGGGCGTTGAACTTGATGTCTGCTGGCGTCGGCATTGGTTTTTTGTGCCACAGCTCGAGTGGGGACAACCCGGTGGTAGAGTGGGGGGTCCGATTGTATGCCATGGTGGCTTTGTACAGGACTTGGTCCCATGAGGTAGCGTTTGGCGCGGTTTTGGCGAGGATGGCGGTTAGGGACTTGATTGTGCGTTCGCATGCGCCATTGCCCTCTGGGTGGTATGGTTGTGCGATGTGCACTTCCATTTGGTTTGCCTTGGTGAACCGTTTGAATGCTGCGGATGAGAAGACCGCTGCGCCATCCGAGTGGATGATTTCAAAGGATCCCAGCTGCACGAAAACATCTGCAATGAAGCTGCAGAGTGCGTTGGCTGTCGCCCGTTTGACTGGTTGCGCGATGGCGCGTTTGGTGTAGTAGTCGACTGCCACGAGGGCATATCGGTTGCCCGTTTGCGACGGCGGGAATGGTCCCCAGAAATCTACCCCGAGCCGGTCGTGTTTGTTGGTGGCCGGGATGGGTTCTAGGCGCGTTCCCACTGTGGCTGTCGCCGGATTGAAGGTGAAGCATTTTGTGCATTTGGCGACCCTCTTAAATATCTGCGTTCGCATTTCAGGCCAGGTGTATCGCTGGCGTAGTTGGTGGAACGTCCGTTTCCAGCTAGGATGTCCCATTTCAATGTGGTATTCATCGATTATGTCCTGGCGTTCGGATTCGTTTGGTATTTCCTTGAGTTGGATGGTATTCAGTCGGATGCGGCTGAGGGCGTCTGGCCCCGTTAGGGTCTTGCCCGGTCGGTGTACCAGCGTGTAACTGAATGATTCCAGTTTGATCTTGAGGCTGATGAGTCGTGTGTCGGACAGTTCCCCGAGGAGGGCCTTGTGGTCCGTTATAATCTTGAAGTGCCGATGTTTGACATAGTGGCGGAATTTTTTGGTCGTCGCCCAGACTGCTGCCAGCAGCTCTCGCTGTGTGTTGGAGTAGCATGTTTCCGCGGGGGTCAGGACCCGACTCGCGTATTCCATGATGTGGGGTTGTCCTTCTGGGTCGATTTGGACGAGGATGGCCCCTATTGCGGATGCGGACGCATCGCAGTGGATCTCGGTGTCCCATGCTGGGTCGAACCGTTCCAGCCGCGCGGCGTTTGCTATCGCTTGTTTTAGCACTTCGAACGCCTCAGTTGCCTCTGGTGACCAGATGATGGCTGTCGCCGGTTTGACTGGGATCGTTAGTCTGAGGACTTTTTCCAATTGTGCGAAGTTGGTCGGCACATGGGCTCGTAAGTAGGTGGCGAGGCCCAGGAATCGTTGCATTTGGCGTGTGGTTGCCGGTTGTGGGAAGGCCTGGACTGCTTTGAGATGCTCTTCCGCGGGGCGTGTGCCCGTTTTGTCGACGATGTGACCAAGAAAGTTGATTGACTCGGCCAAGAATTTGGATTTGCGGATATCGATGGACGCTCCTGCGGACGCAAGCGTATCGAGGACCTGTTGTAGGTTTTCCAGTACCGTTTCGAAGGTATTGCCGAAGACGATGATGTCATCGATATACACCAGACACTTCGTGTATAAATGCGGGCGCAGGATGGTTTCCATGGTCCTTTGAAAAATGGCGGGTCCCGTTTTGAGGCCGTATGGTAGGACCGTATACTGCATTTGTCCTGTGTAGGTCGAAAATGCGGTCTTGTGGCGGTCGCCGTGGGCGATGGGGATGTGATGATATCCCGAGTGCAAGTCGAGGCAGCAAAAATAGGCGTTTTGGCGCCCTAGTGCGTCCAAGATGTCCTGAATGACTGGCATCGGGTAGTTGTCTGCCAGTAGAACCTTATTGATTTCCCGATAATCCTCTACGAGGCGCCACCGCTTGATTGCGGGTGCGTTCGGATCGTCATCTTTCGGCGTCAGGAAGGCCGGGGAATTGACGGTGGACTGGGCTGGTTCTATTATACCCGCGCGGGTGTAATTGTCGATGATGTGTTGGAACGATGGCCGCTTGTCTGGTGAGAGCCGTATGCGGCGGCTGGGTTCGGGGTCTTCACCGTTGGTCGGTAGCGATGCAACGTGCTGCGGGAAGAGTCCGTGCTTACCGCTCCATTGAAAGATGTTAGAGGCGTAGCGCCGCAGTAGTGCCGCGATTTGCTGTTGCTCTGCGGGCGTCCCATGTACGAATGTGATGCCCTCGCCTATCGGCGCTGTCGGGGCTTCGTTAATGGGTTTAATCTGCTGAAATCCGGAAAAAACTCGCTGGCCGTCGAGAGTGACGCAGAAAGGGTCTAAGAAGTCGCACAGCTCGGGCTCCTATTGTCCCATCACGCGCAACCTATCATCATTCTTCCACCGAAGCATGCGCCGGCTAGGTTCTCATTTTTGTCATGAGTGACGCACTGACTGCCAGCACCATACGTGAAGAACTGCTGCGGAAATCCTCGCTTGGGTCGGATGCGGAGACAGGCCGACCTCCTCGGCGACGTCTGTCGCCATGAACGATTTTGTCGCTCCGGTGTCGATCAGGGCGGTCACCCGTTTGTTTTTGATGGTGATGATGATGGTCAGGCTGTCGTCTGTGGGCGTGGGGATCGAGCAGAGGACAGCCGTCACTGCCCGATCTTCCCGTTTCCCGGACACGTTGCTGCGGTATGTCCTGTATTGCCGCATTGTACGCATTTAGTCGGTTGAATTGATTGTGCGGGGGATGGTGTATTCACCTGGTTTGCCGGGTTGTTTCGGCATTCCTCGGTTGAATGTGCGACCATGCGCCCCGGGTGAAACGAACAGCTTTGCAGGGGGCGTCCGTTAGCCGTTGTGGACGGCGTGGATGCCCGTGAGCTCGTGCGTGACATCGTGCACTCGGCCGTGCTGTGGAACACATACCGCTGATGATTATCGCAGTAGTATTTCGTGACTCCTGATGCCGTCGTCTTGGGCAGGCGGTTGGCAGGCGATTGCGGTGCCGGTGATGCGGCCGGTTTCGGTGGAGCCGGATGAGTCCGTCTGTATTCGTCGGCTATCGCCAGGCATTCGTCCCATGTGAGGGAACGGTCGGCTGTCGCCCGCGCATGTAGTTGGGCGTGGAGACCACCGGTGGTGATGGACAACAGCTGTCCGATAAGGGCCTGTGTGATGGCGGTCTCGTGTAGCCCGACCGTGTTGGGTGGTAAGGCGAGATATCAAAGGTATTCGTCGTGTAGGCGTGGACCGAACTGTGAGAATAGCTCGTCGGACGCCGGTCGGAACTGCTGGAACCTGGTAAAGTGTTCAAATGGTGATAGACCAAACCTGGTTTTGAGCTTTTCCGCGATGAATATTCGTCGCGTAGGCGTGGACCGAACTGTGAGAATAGCTCGTCGGACGCCGGTCGGAACTGCTGGAACCTGGTAAAGTGTTCAAATGGTGATAGACCAAACCTGGTTTTGAGCTTTTCCGCGATGACGTCGTAGTCCTCGAATCCTTGATCATATAGGAGTTGTGCTGCTTCCGCTACTTTCGGCTGGGAGTGCCCGATTAGACAGTCGACTCGCGTGAAATTCGGCGTTCCGTCGTGTTTGAAGGCGGTGTCCAGGCGTCTTAGATACATTTCGATGCTTTCGTTGGGCGACTGATGCGGGTAGTCTACGCGTCTGCGCAGCAACGACCGTGCTAGCAGTTCTGTCGATCCTGGTCCCGTTTGATAGTCCGGCGGTGAGCCGAGAATGATATTGAGTGGCGTTGCGCCTCTGGCTTGGAGTGCGCTGATAAGTTCATCGCGTGGCACTTCGTTAGCGTTGGGAATGCCGTTCGCTGTCGCGTACGTCCGTATGGCGTTTAGCATGAGAAAATTCCATGGGTTTGCTGTCGCCCGTGGTTGCGATGACGCTACCGGTTGTGGTGACGCGTTCGCGTTAGAAGGACCCGGTTGGGGTTCACTTTCAGTACGGTCACTGTTCATGGCGGGTCGTCGTCGGTCGGCTGAGCCCCCAGTAAGATTTCTCCACAGTCACACTAGGATCAGTTGGACTAGGAATAACTTGACACCAATATCGGAATACTGAAGTCTATTCACATAAGTATACTGTCGCACACATACAACAGAGGTCCGCACTCTATTAACAGCCCATTCGCTTGAATCTTTGGTCCCTTTTTCTCCAATGGTTTTTACCACATTTGACTTGAAGTGACGCCATTGTTGCAGAGAAACGGGGGCAAGAACACGTTTCACAGCTAACATGGTACAGTAAGATTTCTCCACAGTCACACTAGGATCAGTTGGACTAGGAATAACTTGACACCAATATCGGGATATTGAAGTCTATTTACACAAGTATACTGTCGCACACATAAAACAGAGGTCCGCACTCTTCGGAGGTTCGAGGTAGAATGGGGCTTGGCATGCCCCTCGTTACACAAGATGGCCGGTCGCTGGCGCGCGGGCCGTTGCGCCGGCGTACCCTGATTGGGTACAAGATCTGAACGAAGCTCGATTCGAATACGCGTTTGTACAAGTCGCGCGGGACTAATGGCCGCTGGCCGTTACTGTACCATTTGATTTTCTGCTGTAAAAATATACAACTTTTTTTCCAGAATTCATCACGTGGAAAAACACGCTAACCACATCACGTGGAAAATCACGCCAGCACTGTACTCGCGAAAAGTAGTAAGAGTTGTTTCCGAAGTAAAGACTTCGACCACACTTTCCGGATACAATATTTAATATTCCCAAGGAAAACATAGTCAGATAACAGTCAGGGATAAAAGGATAGATGATGCTCAGTCAAGTAGTCAACTCAGAATTTTCACTCTTGGTTCTTCTCATTAGGTCGCTCCCAAGCTTCCATTGATCCTTCATCAGATAAGCTTCTGTGCGTGGGCTCTTAGGATGGTCAAGGTGGGTGGTGTAGTTTCTCGCCGGAGAAGGAAGCCAAGCCAGCGAAATTCCACGCCACTGCACCCCTGACCCCCTCACTCCCTATTCTCATCACTCTCTCCTTTACGCACACTAGTGACAGACCTGAGGGTCTGGGTTTACCGTGGTGTAGTTTCTCACCGGAGCAGAACTCTTGGTCGGCCGAACTCTAGGCCACTGCACCCCCCATCCCCTCACTCCCTATTCTCATCACTCTCTTTTTTACACACACTAGTGACAGACTTGAGGATTTGAGTTTACAGTACGCTGGGCAGTGTCACAGGACTATAGCGATACCAGGTCTAGGAAGGATGTTCACACTGGAATAAAGGGTGTCACAGGACAACTTCTTCACAGTATACAGGAGTCCACTTTTTTGTCATACAAGTGTTACAATTTTTTATCCTCTAGCTGCTACACTAATCATATTTGAAAGTGCAAACCTTCTTGAACTGTGGTTTGAAAAGTTGATACAGATGGAGCTCAACTTGACTGGTTGTGAGGACTGTTTGACAATTTGATGTGAACAAGTACATCCACATCATATAAGTAACTTGAGGCAAGGCCAGATTAAAGCAGGTGCTAATGATGCAGTTGATGCTGCAGCATTATGGGCTCACCAGGCAAATAATAGGCCCCTGTGAATTAAAAAATTAGCCAACTGGNTTTCGCATGGCACATGATGGTCACTGGGCCGTTCGAAAAGTACCAGAAGAAGCAGCCAAAATGGCGAAAAACTTCTTCCAAAGTGCTAAGTCTCAAAAACTGAGACACTCGAGCAGAAAAGAAGTCAAGCAGGAGTCGAAATAAACATAATACTGTAAATACACATTCAGAAGCAGATTTTGGGCACGAAGACATAAAAATATGACATAGTTCTAAATTTCATTTCAATATCATTTCAAACTCGAAGGTTTTCAACGCAATTTGATCTACAAACAACGGACAGTTGGAAATTGAGGGTTTTCATTTTATTTTCTCGATTTTCACGAAAAGCTACATATATCGTATAATCTTCCCAGAATTACTTTCGATTTTTGTACAATTTGCGACGAGGAAAATTTCTTAACCAGTTACAAGTTAAATAATTCAACTAAAGTAATTTTTTTGTTTGCTTGTGGAAAACATTCAATATTGCAGAAAAATAATTAAATTCATGAGGAACCACGAAGTCCAACGTCCGACTGAAACTAACCACAGAAAGAAGTTCGATTCGTCGGAAAAAAATACCAACCACATAACTCTTGATCCTGATGAACTCTTCTTCAACCCTCAACGCATCGCTCCTCGAAAACTTGTTCATGGTCGCAATCTGCGCTTTGAGCTTCCCGAAAAAGTTGTGGCCGCCTTTTAGCACACATAATGCAACGAGCTCATGGCTTTCAGCAGACTCCGGATCGGAACTCCGAGTGTAGTCGTGCCAAATATCAGAGGCCACCTTCTCGACGCGGTCCGCTATCAGCCCGGATGGAATAAGAACTTTGGACAAATCTCCTTCGTATTGCCGCGGCACTGTGAAAAGTTCCACGTCGAAACCGAAGTCATCATCAACCTAAAACACAATGAAAATTTTTCCACATTCACGCAGAATGGAAAAGAATTGGCACTTGCCATCACAATGAAAACCAGCACGTAATTTTAGGCGGAAGAAAAAAAGTCTCACACTCATTTCCAAAACGACATCACAAGATAAAAGTTTCTGAAACCAGACTTCGACGCTTAATCCCTCGAAAAAATATATGTACAATATATGACCCTAATTATTAAATTATCGTCACAGAAGTGCATCCTCGACGTTTTTGCGAAGTTTAAACTCCTCTCAAGAATTCGACATACTAGTGTCTAGCACCACAATTCAACTTTATTTTCAGAACGGCATTATACGGTTTTAAATAAGCCTGTGAAACCATTCCGCAATGTTTAATCCCTTATTAAAAAAGGAGCAGAAATTACAGTTACGAAAGTAAATATCGACGTTTTTGTCAAGCTTATTTTTTCTTTACCTTAGAAGTGTCCAGTTCCATAACTTAACCACGTTGCAGAAATAGGGCTGAAAATATCCTCACAATGTTGAATCGATCCATTTTATTTTAAGGAAATACCCTGTACTACTTCATACCTTTTCATATGGCTCTACTTTCGATAATTGATTCCGCACTTCAACGCGTATAGATTAGGTTAAATTCTAAAAGAAAAATTCCGGAAGTTTCACACCTGCGAACAAAGCAATTTCTGAATTTCCTCAAACAAAAAACATACCGTTCATGATACGTATTAACTGCACATTCGAATGCGAGGGAAATAAAATGTAAACGTCGAAGACTCGCTTTCAATTATGAATTACACAAATACAAAATGATCTTTCAAGCTTTCTGAATCATCAAAACGCTTGACATTGGTTGTAAAGGTGGACTCTCTCTACAAAAAAAATGCAGGGGATCAGAAAAAAATTCGTAGAGGACAACCTCCATAAGATGAGTAGAGAACCTTAGGTGACCAAAAAATAAATGAATCGTTGAGTCCATCCGAGTTTTTTTTTTCTTTCATCACTTCCGTTACTCAGACGACACGAGCCCAAAATTTCAAAAATCACGGAAGGGTATGAGATTTGATAAATTTCAATTATTCGTGATTCGAAAATATACGTACCTTCACACGGTCTCTTCGTACATCTCCATTCGGGATCACACTCATTGCTGAATTAACTCGTTATCGACGATTCAGGTAACACAGCAACTATTACAGCGAAGCTTCGCTCAGAACCGACTGAGCTTCAACCAGAAGCCACTTCAGAACAGGGAACTCAAACGCATAAACAAACTCAGACACAAACACAACCTAGCAACCGTTTCAATTCGATTCACGCTCCAAGTGACGTACTGTATTCCAAAGAACTGCTAACCACCAGCTTGTTTCACTCGTTTCCATTTCCACCCTCACACAGGACTCGCAGAAAATCAAAACAAAAAACTTTTTCACTTTACACTGGAAAGATTTTT